AGTCAATAATCATGCAGATTTATGTTACAAACTTATAGAATTGTACAGTAAGAAAGTTATTTCCTTTAACCAGGAAATTAACGTTCTTAGAATTGACAAGACGGTTGACCCTGAGTGGTCAGCTAAATATCTACAGTGGATCTAAAATATTAATAATTAATCATAATTAGTTATGGTTAATTATTCATATTTCCCCATGAGCTAAATTCGCTACAACATGCATTAACTATTAAATTAACAATGAGCAATACATTTGTTACAGTATTAAATTAAAGTGAAATGACTGAACCTATACATATAATTTTAGAAGAAAATTTCAAATGGCACTTAGAGGCTTTTGCATCTAAACTCTCTCTCTCGCTCTCTCCCTATATATATATATATATTTGGGGTCACTTGCATCAACATACCACTGTCTTACCATAGGGGTTATCAGTAATTAATATAATTTGAATATATTTTCTTTTCTGAACAAATGTTGTTTAAATAAGTTTAAAATCAAGCAACTCTGAGAGTGTATTCTATACATACTATACATATATTTTTATACCAGTTTTATATACAGAAAAAGTTAAATTTAAACACACACACAAACACACCATTGGTTTATGATCACAGGTAAGGAAAGCAAAACCAGAATGCTCCCCATTTGCTAGCATAATATCAAAAATCACTTTGGGGCATTCATCTTTAATAGATGCTGTATTTTTGGACTGCCAGTAAACAGGCAAAAGTCACAAAAACTAGTGTACACTTCTCGATGAGTTATTAAATAGAATGCAATGAGTGATAGTGATGAAATGGTCAACTTTTTGAAGCAAAATAACATATACTGCACTCTTCACAAAACAGGTAAATTATGGAATCTATATTAAAACACATCACAAAAACAGCCCTAAATTCATGTAGAGCTGAAGCGATAGAAACTGGGTCACAGGCGTAACCACAGACCCCAGCCACTACTGCTCCACAGAAGCATGATTCAAATTGTGCTCAACTATGTTTCTCCCACGATGAGCAGATTTTACACAGACTCCAAGATTGTCATCACAGCGGACATTATGATTCAGTCTAATATCCCCAGTACAGTCCTTCTAATGAAATGATGTGTAGTGTTCTCATATCTGACCAGTCATCGTGAATAAGCTTTCACTAGCCAGTCAAAACATTATGTGATAGACATCACTCACAGGACAGGATGCACTGACACCTCCTGAGGGACTATACCCATTACCATAATGAAACTGGTGCTGGCTGTTTTTGCTCTCTACAAGTTTGGAAAGTTTTCTCACAAGAGTCACAGACACTACAGGTAAAAGTAAACACGCATGTTGTACTCAAACACAATGGCTATGGCATTTTCATTGAAAACACACACACACAAACACACACGATGCGCAAAGCTCCGCATTTGAACAGTCAATAGCAAATATTTAAACTAATAACAAAACAGTAGCTGATTCAGAAGTGCAAGATTGTCATAGCAATGTTAGAATTACCTCTTCTCCTTGAAAATACTAAATATTATTACATTGTTATACATATATATATATATGCAAGGAGTATCGTGTAAAAGTATGTATATATTCTATATATATATACTATATATATACAGTATATATATATACTGTATATATATAACCTGCAGTACATATATACATACAAGGAATATATTCTTGAAATATATTTGATTTAGTTTACAGATAAACAAGGGGAAAAACAGTATGACATGTAACGTAGCCTATATACACTGAGTTTCAGTTCATTTGTGACACCCTTAATTTGTTCATAGAAAGGAAACTCAAATGGCAGAAAGCGACATCCTATTCGCCTTTATTTTACAAAAGCACAATGTTTTGTTTCCATTGTGAGTGTACACAAATAAAAGCAGACCTTTATACAGTGATGCATTATTAATAAGACAATAAGTGTTTAAAGTTGATTCTGCTGGTATAAGGAAACAGTTGAAGTGCACGCACACACACGCATTTTAACAATTTATTTAAGTCCATTTAAAAGAAATACCTTACAGGTACATAAATATTATAGATGATGCAGTTAAATAGATGTACAAAATCATGGACCAGTGGCATGCAACATATATATATACAGTATATATATATACTGTATATATATAACCTGCAGTACATATATACATACAAGGAATATATTCTTGAAATATATTTGATTTAGTTTACAGATAAACAAGGGGAAAAACAGTATGACATGTAACGTAGCCTATATACACTGAGTTTCAGTTCATTTGTGACACCCTTAATTTGTTCATAGAAAGGAAACTCAAATGGCAGAAAGCGACATCCTATTCGCCTTTATTTTACAAAAGCACAATGTTTTGTTTCCATTGTGAGTGTACACAAATAAAAGCAGACCTTTATACAGTGATGCATTATTAATAAGACAATAAGTGTTTAAAGTTGATTCTGCTGGTATAAGGAAACAGTTGAAGTGCACGCACACACACGCATTTTAACAATTTATTTAAGTCCATTTAAAAGAAATACCTTACAGGTACATAAATATTATAGATGATGCAGTTAAATAGATGTACAAAATCATGGACCAGTGGCATGCAACAGATCTTCACAATATTAAGCATAACACTCAGTTGTTATGGATATAAATAACAGCATCTCCGCCATATATGACGGCTGCCTATGATAGAGGACAAAGCACAGTACCTTTGCTAGCCGTTTAGCCCTCGTTCTGGACATCCCAAGTTGTTGAAGCCCTCTTACAACCAGCCTGTGTGTGTGTCCTAAGCTGCCAAATATGAAAACAAGTAATCGGCCCCTATAACCGATTTCTGAAATGGTATTTAGCAGTGGTTGATATTTAAAGGGGTCATATGATGCTGCTAAAAATAACATTATTTGGTGTATTTGGTGTAATGAAATGTGTTTATGCGGTTTAAGGTTAAAAAACACATTATTTTCCACATACTGTACATTATTGTTTCTCCTCTATGCCCCGCCTTTCTGAAACGCGTCGATTTTTACAAAGCTCATCGGTCTGAAAAAGCGAGGTGTGCTCTGATTGGCCAGCTATTCAGTGCGTTGTGATTGGCCGAATTCCTCAAGCGTGTGACGGAAATGTTACGTCCCTTACCATATTGTGATGCCTGCGGCAACCACATGTGATGACCCCGGGCTAGACTCCGCTTCGTCCACGGTGAAAGCCGATCCGGCGATCGACAGCGCGAAGTTGAAGTATTTCCTCAGCGACCAGCACGGATCAGCTCCAGGCATGATGAAGCGATATCGTCCTCTTTTGTAAGGACAAACAAAGTAGTTTCGCTTTCACAAAGAATCACACAGCGCCTTCACGACATGGCGGCGGCGGAAACAACAATACTACAGCGAGAATAAAAGATACGCCTTCTTTCTTTGCGTGAACATTTGGGCGGCGTTATGCAAATCTTCCCACATAGTGACGTAGGTATGTGGGGCGTGTTAGAACGAGCCGTTTTAGGTAGGCGTGGCTGACTCTTAACTTTTATAAAGAAAATCTCTTTGGATTTGATACTTTAGTCTTTGCAACTTTACAGATCTTCTTTATGCACCAAGAGCTTGTAACACTCCAAAGAGAAAGGAAAAATTTAAATCGCATCATATGACCCCTTTAATGACTTTAGTCATGAAAGCTTCCTCCATACTAGTCAAAGGTTCCTGCAACCTCTAAAACAAACACCTCTCTACACTCCTCATTAATCACAACAACATCTGGTGTATTAGCAGACAAACTTGAAAAGATTTAAGAGTTACAACTGCAATACTGAAACATGGATAATTTTACACAAGAATGTTTGTATATTCTTACTAGAGGTGGTAAATGGTTTGATATGTCTTTTACTATCAGGTCCACTATTCTGTTATGGCGTGCTATGTACATTCCCCTGTAAGCATGGCAGCCGTTCAGGATATGTGGCAATGTTTCAGTGATCTATTCTGTAGTGTGATGCAGACAGTGAGGAACCTGAGTTGTAGGAAACCAGATAGAAAGGTCGGAAGAACTTGTAATCTGGCTTTTACTGTGAAAATGGCAATGTCCTCACTGAGTGCAGTATTCTTAATAAGAAATGAGTGAGAAACAGAATGA